GATCATTTTACATCAGGTTTTTTATTTATTTATTTATTTTTTGTAACATGAGAGCAAAGTCTTCAGAGCTCTGAAAAGGAAGTCGCAGCCTCCCATTTTCTTTCATTTTTCTCCCCCCTTTTCTCCCCGCCACCCACCCACACTTTGTCTCCAGCCGATCTGAACAACACACAACAGTGTCCGCCGCACCAACAAGACCACCAAATGAATGTTTAATGAGCTTGTGAGACGTTTTAATGGCGGGTCGCTAATGTTCTTTAATGATCTTCCTGTTGATGGCCACGCCTCGATGCTTTCTGCTCCGCTGCGCCTCGGACACTTTTTCTGACGATGCTTTGAAGTTTGCTGAATCCAGTTCCCGTCGCTTTTTCTCTCCACTTCCCCGCTCGAGGACTCCAAACAGTTGGAAGCACTCCCTGCTTTTCACTTTGTTGAGAAGGAAAGATGACTTTTCCTCTGAGAAAGTCCGCTTCAGGTAGGGGGGATTTGCTTTGCTTTTGGATTTGCCATGGCTCATGTTTGGTTTTCACCATAAGGGGAAAAAAAATCAGATTAAAAGTTTGTTGTATATCGAGCTGTGGTGATGAGTGATGTGAGCTGTTGGACTTTACAGAATAATGTTTAGTTTGTTTAGTAGGGTTGGACAATATATTGGCAAAAAATTAATCACGATTAATTGTGGTATTTAGCCGATAACGATTAATTTGACGATTAATCCCCTGGAGTCCCTGGACACCTTTATGTCCCAGTCACATGATCAATTTAGTGGGAAAGATTTTCTCTTCATAAAATCTGTTCCAAATTGTGTCAAAAACACAGACTTCAGGCTATACATCAAATTTTTAAATTGCGTTGATAAATAAATAAATTACAGAACTTTATTTTTAATGTTCGTCATAGTTGAAGCAGGGAGGAGCACCAGCAGACTCTGCCTGGTGGCATTACTCGTATTAATCGTCAAGTGCCAAAAAATAATCGATTAATGTTTTTCTGACGATTAATCGCACACGATACGATTATGCCCAACCCTATTGTTTAGAAATCTTGCTAAACTGCAGAACTTTGTCACTGTGTCGCTGTCCATGGTGCTGAAATGGATTGTGTTCCACAGCTTTAGCTGCCGGACTTTTTCCGTCACACTTGTAAGTTTTTCTTTCTTTTACTTTTCCTGGGATTTTAATGAGAGTGTTATGTTCCAGTTGATCTGTTAAGTTTCTGTTTACATATTTATTTATTTTTAATCATCTGTTCCTTGTAAATTTCCCTGTTCCAAAGCCCTCTATAAGTGGACCTGTCCTCTCAGTGAGGGGTGGTGTTCGTGCTTTATGGGTAAATAAAACGTAAAGGACACATTGGGACTGTAGATGGCACCGTCGGTTAATGTGATAACAGCTGAATCCAGTGTGGAGTGAAGGAGCACTGAGGAGGCTGACAGTCAGAACGTGACTTTCTTTGGGTCGTGAAAATGTTATTTAAAGTTGCTTTTTTTATTCACAAGTCGTCCTGAAGTATTGGCAAACATGTTAAAGGTGGAAAATTATAATTTTGTACATGTTTTTGTCATAAAATGTTTTTTTTTTTGTTTAGAATTTAGTAACAACTTAACTGTCCTGTTCAAAGATCAATTTGGAAAATTAAGTCGAGCTGTTTTCTCAGTTGGAGAAATACTTTTAACCATCGTTTTGTATCTATTTTATGGCTAAAACCAGTTTAATTAACGYTATAAGAGATTTGCGCTCATGTGTTAAAATAAAGCAAACTAGCGTTATAATATATTCGAAGTTATAAATATATTTGTTTGGTTGAGCCCCGGGTTGAGCAGACAGTTCCAT